TAAAGGAAGTTGCTGAATTATTATATTTCTGATTGTACATGAAATAGTTGCATTATGTTAAGTAAAATTATGAACCTATAATTGTCTCTATGTGGAGATTAAATATGGCTTAAGGAGATGTATTTCGGTAGCAAGGTGAAAAGAGATGGGATGTGGGGGACTAGGGTGGAATTTCAAATCAATTGGCTTTGGGATCTATCCCAGAGATTGGAGAAGTACATTTACAGGTGTGTCTGGGTGGGTCATACAGGCATGGCCTTGTGGTCTACATCTGGTCCTTTACTCCTTCTGTTCTGGCTCTCTTCTCTGGTTCTGCTTTCCAACCATTATGAATGAGGCAACTTTACTCCACCACATCCTTCCTCTATGATTTCTCTGTCTTGGGGCCAGCTCATCATGGACCAATAAATGAGCAAATTAAGTTGTAGGTATTAGGGATTGTGTTTCAGTGCTGGAAAAGCTAATACACTAATACACCTTGTTATAGAAATAATTCTACAATGAAATTATACCATTCTTCTGATTTATAGTCTCTGAGTCCAAAGCTCAGGTCTTCTAGTCTGTCCTTTCATAGTCTATCCTTAAGAATGAAAGCTTTCATTTACTTCATGCAGTTGGCAGCCTTTCAGACAAGTCCAATGAGCCCACCTTTCAATAATGACATCACTATGTAACCCTCTTCCTTTGAGTGTGTACTGAACTATTAATCAACTTTGAATGAATAGAACATGGAAAAAGTAATAGGCTATCACTTAACATAGATTTAAAAGATTGTGGCCTCTGTCATGGATGCTCACTCACTCTTTGCCTTCGTCCATTCAGAGGCAGTCCAGCAATCTGATACCAGCTGCCCTGTGATGAGATCTAATTGGCAGAGAACTGGGAAGGCCTCTAGCTAATAGCTAATGAGAAACTTAAACCTAAGTCTGAAGGCTTCAGATTGAGGTACTCAATCCCGCCAACAATCACACAAGCAAACTTGAGAATGAGCCTACATCGCAGCCTAAAGTTTGACTGAAATCTTATGAGAGACCTTGAGCTCCTAATAAACTATGCCCAGATTTCCGACCTTCAGTATTACAAGAAAATAAATGTTTCTTGTCTTAAACTACTAGATTTGTAATTAATTTGTAATGCAGAAACAGATTATTATATGGTTTGTATACTACACTCACTAGGGGTGTTGCATAACCAAGGAATTAGGAATTAGAATTATTTCTATTCCTATTTCATCAATAACAATAAAATATTTAACCATGATTGTAAAGAAAAATGGATTTGGAAGTCAAATATATTTAAGATTTTTTTTTTGCCCTACTCTTAATAATATAATTTTAGGAAAGTTAAACAACAATTAGACTCAATTTCCTCATTTGTTAGACGTGTTGGCTTTCTTTAAAATATTTGTTGACCAGATTAGAAATAAAGAATATAAAGAACCCAGCACAAAATCTGGAATAGAGAAAAAATGACAGCTTAATATTATCATTACTGGAAAAATGAATGCTGGTATATATCTTTGCAAACAAAATTGAAGCCATTCCCTAGGAATTATTTCAATTCCATAGTTACTCCCACTTAATTCATGATATGTCCCAGCCTATAGCTGGACCAGAGGCTCAACTTTCAAGAAATTGAGAGACATCCAAGAAAATAAAGTAAACAAATAGTTATAAAATTGTACTTTCAGTTCTAAGTTTAAATATATATATACAAGGTAACATAACAGAGGGTGACTCAACCTACCAGGGTTTCACAAGGCGTCACAGAGAATGTCTTTGGGGGAGTATTCTAGTGGAACATTACAGCAGAGGGAGCAGGAAATGACATAAAATTTTGAAGAGCAGGAAACTTCAAGTTGAGTATTGCCAGGATATGTGCACATAGGAGATGTACCACAGATGATCCTATGTTCCAAAGCAAGTCTGGATTCCATTCCACAATTGAGACAGGATTGCTCAAGGGTTTTAAGCAAGTGACTTTTGAATTTTCAAATGGAAACTCTGGTACCAACAGAAAAGTTGCACTGAGACAAAACAGAAAGTTGAAGTCTCACAGCTAACTCCAAAAGAGATGATATGATTCTGAATTTGGGCATTCAAAATGGAAAGAGCGGGATAGATTCCACAGATATTTACAAGGCAGTTGATCACTGCAGAAGATGAAGCAGAGACAGAAATCAAGACTGACCTTCCAAACCAACGTTCTGAAAAGCCCGACCCTCAGGTATTTTTGAAGGGAAAAGAAAAAAAAGTCTCCAGGAGGAGAAAGGAAACTAAAGAAGGAACGAATTCCATCATTCCATCCCCAAAAGACTTTTTATTTTCTCTAAAACTCACTAACTTTCTACATAGGCACTGTAAGTTAAATCATAAAGCTGAGAAATTTAGAACATTAAAATCAAGCTAGTTATTACTTTTCTAAGTGTTTACATATTCTTAAATAAGCATCATTAGATAAAACTGCTTCGTTTTCTTCCTGTAAGTTTGTTCGTGACTAAAAGAATCACACAGGCTTAATTTTTTTTTTCCGGTACCGGGAATCGAACTCACGACCTTGTGCTTGGCAGGCAGGCACTGTGCAGCTGAGCTAAATCCCCAGCCCCTCAGGCTTAATTTTTTGAGCATTTATAAAACACTTCAATTTTGAATGAGAAGAAAAATCTAGTTTGAGAATATTTTTCTTCCTCAAATAGCAGGTGGTTATGCAGTTATTTCCAAGTGATAATGGAAAGTCAATTGCATTACCCTAGGGTAATCAGTTCTGAGACTTACATAACCATATCCCAACTGGTTGTTCATAAACTCTGAAAAGAAGCTCTCTCTCTTTAAAATCTATATTCCTTCTGAAGAACCTCATGCTGAAGTCCTGACTAGCTAAGTGAAAAGAAGAACAAATACAGCTACCCAAATTATAGCCAAGAAATCCACTTTCATAAAATAGAGGCAAGAAGATTTTCCTATTGAAGTATAAATGCAATTACTGATTCTCAGCCTCAATTTTTTCGAAGAAGACCCAGTCCAAAAAAAAAGCTTTAAAAATAAGTTCCTGTATATTTTGAAGAAAAGGTTTTCACAATCCCAATAGCTCTTTATGCAATCCTAAAACAGAACACACAAAAAAGTTAGGAGGGACAGTATGATCACAAATAATGAGGTCTATCTGCCCTGGTCTCTCGTCAGGAAGCAACTGGTTAAAAATAGAATGCATTCACATCTTACATAATCAGAGACAGGTAAGTTTGATAAATAGGCACAAGTTAAAATGAATAATATTTAATACTGTTTTGGACACTTAAATTTGAAATTCATCAAACAAGATGGAAAACACTTTATAGGCAAGCAGAAATACTTTCCCTTCCCTACTTGGAATATGGCCATTTTAAAGCAGAAAGGTCTAAACTCTTAGGCTTGTGCTTATAGTATTTTCTGATCTAACTTAATAAATGGTGACATTGCTTTTTTTAGTCTAGCAAAAGTGTTTGATGACAGCCCTCCTTCCCTGTGCATCCCTTTTCAGGTCCCTCTTATGGTCTTGGAAAGACACAGATTCTCCTCAGGGTTGTAAATGTTATACAGCATGTGAGCCTTACCATTTTGTTTTACTGCCTGGCATCCAAGCATTCTTCCTGACAACTTCTCCATTTCTTTCAAGGAAGCACTTCCCTGCCATGGACTGCAGTCTTGGTGAAACCAGAATAAGGTGCTCCGCCCTCAACATTTGATCAAGTCAAAACAGAATGCTAGAAATTCACAGTGGTTGTTATATTACATATTGTTATCTTCAACGAAGTTGCTCAGATTACCAGACGTAAGAATGCAAGACAGATTGAACCATTAAAGAGAATAAAAAATAATATTAAAAAATTAGAAATGATACAGAGCTTCACGAGACAAGATGGTGGGACTTCACCAATGGTTGTTATATTGCATATTGGTGTCTTCAAATTAGCTGTTCTGTTTGAAAAAAAAAAATTTAATCAAGTCAAAGAATCCCTATAGAGTAAGGGTAATCCCTATAGAGTAATCTTACCTTTGAGAGGTAAGAGTAATCTACCCTATAGAGTAAGAGTAATCTACCCTATAGAGTAAGGGTAATCCACCCTATAGAGTAAGGGTAATCTACCCTATAGAGTAAGAGTGATCCCTATAGAGTAATCTTACCTTTGAGAGGTAAGACTCTTCCTCCTCCTACCCTCCCATTACCTGGTGTGGAACTTGTCAAGCTCCCATCTCAGGATTTAAATCTATTGTACTTTTACTTTAATGATGGCATGCTGTTTCTAAACCTGGTTTGGTACATTTTCCATCAGTTCCAGGGACTGTCTCAGATCCTCCCTCTCCCTTCAAAAAATTCCTTTTCCCTAACCTATCTAAAGTTGGTTTCTTCTACTTAAAATTTAAAAACAGTGTTATACTTACAACATTAGAAGTGCTATTTATGGTACTTCAACTTTTAAAATAAACTTTTAAAGCTTTTAAACTCAAAACTCTTTAAATCAAAATAGAAATTTGGTTGTAGAAAATACTTTTAATGGTGATCTGAAATGCTTAAAAGGATGTGTTGCAGGATATTACTGTCATACTTTAAAGATCTCTGTAAAATGTGGCTTCTTTAACAGCAAAGGACCCAAACACATTCAAGAGGATCAGGGAATCTGGTGATGTTGGGTGGCCCCAATTTAAGGGAGCTGTTGCTTCTTATCTTCCCAATGTTAAATTGAACTTCACAGGCTCTCTTGACATCACATAAACTTAAATTATCCCTTTGCCTCCTAAGCAGAGTTCCTGGGCTTAATTTCCCTGAGCTTTTTCCTGGCACTTGTACTCGTCTTCTGTGAGCCTCTTGGGTGATGGCTTCACAGGGCAGAGCATCCCTAAAAGGCTCAGCTGAATTTTACCAAGCGGAAAATGCATACAACTGATTTCAACTACCTCATGTTGGACTTTTGTGTAATAAGCATTTATGCAGATGTGCTACATTGTATTACTCACTCATTTCATCACTCTGCAGTTGCTTGTCCACAAGTGCCCCAGGTTAGAGCCAGGTTTCTCCACCATCAGTGTCACACCAGGTGAAAGGTAGCAACAGTGAGGGACGCGGGGAAGAACCGCTCTTGTCCTTATTTCCATAAACAGGAATCAAGATACTGGCTTAAACTTGAAAGAATAAATAAGAACACAAAAGACTTTTTAAATTTTATTTTAAAGATAAAAGAATACAAATATATCAACACATATACATTTACCAAATAACAAAAATAACACAAGCAATAGAGAATTTCAGACAAGGTGATAGGAAATTAACAATGGTTGTGTATTACATATTGATATTTTCAAACTGGTTACTCAGGTGAACAAATATAAACAAGTAAGATTGACCAAATAATTAAACATTAACTGTTTCTCTCAATAAAGCCATAGAGGGGCTGGGGATTTAGCTCAGCAGCAAAAAGCGCCTGCGTGGCAAGCGCAAGGTCGTGAGTTCGGTTCCCGGTACCGGAGAAAAACCAAAAAAACAAACAAACAAAAAAAAAAATAAAGCCATAGAAGTCAGCAGTACAACTATGTTAGCTATCTTGTGTATACATATGCATATAATTTTCCCTCCTTTCTTAAGAACACAAAAGATTAAACAAATTTAACCATCTGAGGAACTAAAATCATTACAATCTTTAAATAATGAGAAAGGATATGAAGTAGAGATAAAGTAAATAAGTTAATATTTATAGTTTAGAATTAAAAGGTTCAGTTAGTTTTCTATTGCTGCATTCCTAACAGGCAAATTACTACAAACTTAGCTTCAAACAACACAAATTTACTATCTGATATCTATGGATTAGGTGTCCAGCTGCAGACTCCCTGGGTCCTCTACTCAGGGTCTTGCTACCCTAAAATCCAACTGTCAGTGAGGGCTGCATCTCACATGAGACCTGGCACCCTCCTGTTTTTGGCAAAACTTACTACCTCGCAGTTTTATGACTCAAATTCCCTTTTTCTTGCTGTCAAGTGGAGATTACTTTCTATTCTTAAAAGCTACTCTCAAATCCTAGTCCTGTGTCCCTCTTCTTTCAAAACACAGCAATGCAATTCTTCAAGGCTGGTAGAATTTTTCTGGGAAGTCCTGGTCAGTCCCTGTGTTAAGGGTTCACTTAAAGAAGTACAGCATACCCAGGATGAGCTGCTTTGCACTAATTAGAACTAGAATCATTGGAGTGGTAGCCATCATTTGCACAGGTTTACCTATTGTACTGTCACCTTCTCATCCCTCAGAGAGGGAGAAGTGTAGGACCAGACATAGACTCTGTTGGCCCACTCTGGGGGCCCAAGAAAGATTTTCATGGGTGACGTCCCCAGGTGAAAGAACGCACGTGCGCAAGACAACAAGAACAGGCGGCAGCGTGGAGCACTTAAACTGAGACATCCATCCTCTCCTGCCCCTGGACATTGACATCCTGGTTCTCAGACTTCTTAACTCAGAAGAGGGCTTAGGCCATCACTCCTCCATACCAATTCTCAGCTCTTTTGACTCAGAATGAATTATATGAGCAATCTTTTCATTTCCCTATACTGCAGGTGGCAGATCATGGGACTTCTTGACCTCCACAACCACAAGAACATGTTCCTTCATTTATTAATGACAGGGATATGCTCCAAAAAAAAAGGAGTCAGTTTGTGATGTCATCAGCGTGTGAACATCATAGAATGCATTTAAGTGACTAGTTACACAAACTAAATGCTAGAACATTAATATAATCTTATGGGACTACCACTACATGTGCAGTTTGTCACTAACCAAACAGCATCACTTGATTATATAGGTACTCACATCCTAATGGTTCTGTTTGTCCAGAGAACTCTGTACTAATAATTGTGAATTTGCCCCCCTTCCCCTGTCAGAGCTGAGCTGCACCTCAGACAGCTTCAGGAGCTCCAGTGAGCTGCTGCCACCCCCACACATGAGCTTGGAACCAGTCAGAAACCCAGACAGCTTTAGGGGCCTGGGGTCCACTCTCTGCCCCTCCTCTGCTCCCCACTTCACCCATTGGAGCTGAGATGCACCTCGGACAGCTTCAGGAACTCCGGTGAGCTGCTGCTGCCCCTACACATGAGCGTGGGACCAGGCAGAAACCTGGTCAGCTTTAGGGGCCTGAGATCCACTCCCTGCCCCTCCCCTCCTCCCTGCTTGCCCCATCAGAACTGAGCTGCACCTTGTATAGCTTTGGGAACTCTAGTCAGCCAGCCCCACCTCTGCCCCACCAGCTTGGGAGCCAAGGGGAGCCCTAGACAAACTCAAGAGCCTTGGGTGCTCTTCCCTGCCCCACCCCACACCCTCAGGGGAGTTAAGCTGAAACTCAGACAGTTTCAGGGGCCTCAGTGACTGTGCACTTACTCCCTGACACTGGTGTGGGAACCAGGAGGGATAGTGGCAATGTATGGAAACACAGTGACCACAACCCACCCACTACTATACCCCAGTGGAAACAGGGTTAAAACCTGAACAGCTTTGAGAACCCATGAGTGGGAGCCAAGCTGAACCACAGAAAGCTGTGGGAGCATTGGGGATCATACCCTGCCCACACACACACACACACACACACACACACACACACACACACTATTGAAGAGTCACACCAAGCACTGAGGACCTTTGGGTCCTTGCCCTGCTACTACGACATCATCCTGGGAGTGAGATTGAGCTCCAGGGAACCTCTGCATCTCTGA